AAAAAGTAAATCGGATTAAAGGGGCATGTAAAAAAAATTTATTTGATACATATATTTTTTAAAAGTTATTGCAGTATAAAGTTGAAAAAATAAATGTAATGTAAAAAACGATAGGAATCTAGTAATGTAGCATTGAAGCATTTTTTAGATTAGTGTAGATTAAAATCACTGCCCTAAAACGCTCCGATGCGAATCTGTTAAATTTCAAATATGTTAAATTTTTATACAAAAAGAAAACTTATTGTCTACATTTTATTACTCAGTAAAATTTTATGAAAAATTTTATAATGCAAAAACCATGCATTATTTAATTATTTTTTTAAAATTTTATATATGTCTGAAATTTCAATATTACCGCTTCGACTGGAATGATTTTACTCAACGATTAATTCGCGTGTGACTAAACTATTTTCCATAGCATTATTCTTAATTATTGATATATTACAGACTAATGAGTCTTCAACAGCTCAATAGTTTTGCAGTAAAATTTCATTGTTGAAAATGACTCCGTTATTAATGCCAATGAGACTAATGACGACATGATTCATTCCTAATGTGATCTGATTATTTTCTCTATAAATGAGAATTCATAGCTAATGGCAACCCAGGACTTTGAATATTATCAGACTTCGTCCGATGTAAAAGTGGGTATAAGTCACTTCCGATTTAATAGCATATCAATAGAGCTTGGAATGAAAAATGTTGCTAAAATTAGACACCGGTAACCATTCTGTACGGTATTGGATAATTTAGCGTTCAGCATAACTTTAGTAATCTAACAATAGTGGAAGCTATGAAGTTCGGTTAATAAAACTCTAGTGGAACAAACGTACAACTTGTTACGCCCTCAATACGAGTAATCGGATATTGCGCTAAACCGATTATTTCTATATGGTTTCTTAACTTTTACAGACCAAGTCTGTTGGCACACTCGGTAATGATTGCTAACACTTACGATCCACTAATGATATGAAATTATGTAATTTTTCCGTTTCTATATTTGCATTATTAACATACCGAATACTACAGTTACTTCCGTGTGCGTCGAATTCGAAAACTTTCGTGACGTATCTTGTATATGTAGAACTGGTCTTTTCTTTTTCAACTCTTGTGTCTTCAGCTTTTAAGTCCCTCTTTTCTCCTTGAAGAAACGTGCTATGTTTTCCCTTATATTCTTTACATTTGAACTCGCCAGTGCATAAACTTACCACATGTTCTAAAGCTAATGAAACAGAGTCCATTGCTTATTATGAGCTTCCGTCTTTCTGGCACAAATTTATTTAAAAAAACACAGCAACGATATATTGGATGATCTTGTTGATATCATATGCATTTGTTCAATATTTTGAAATAGTAATTACTTCATAGAAAACAAAGTTTTTTAATCATCATTATTTTTTCACGGAGAGTATTATTCAAAAGGAAAGCAACGAGACCGATTCATTTTTTAAGGAAAAAATCTTTTAAAAATACTTCGTAGCTAATAAACGTTTGTTTTTATAACGAGCTTTCAATGAGTTCCACGTATATTAAATAATTATCCATCGTTAGCCGTCTTGATTTTAGTATAGTCAACGGTGGACCCAAGAAACACGATATCAACAAATGAAAACGCATAATAACAGATACTTCTGTATTGTTATTACAAGGTTTTCAAAAGTATTTTGGAACGAACACTAGTCCATTATATTTCCGTCAAATTTCGGAAACGAGACGCGTGCACGACTTTAGTAACATTTTCGATTTTTATGATACCTTTATTTATATAAACGTCGATTTAAGTTCACTGTTAATAGTTCACTGTTTATACTTCCGCATATTTCTCCGAAATCATCGATGTTGAACCCAACCAATCGTTGACTGAATGATGCTCTTTGAACTGTACCGTATATTTTTTGACAGTCTTTGTTCACGAAAAGAACAGAAGTGGTTTTGACACATCTACACGTGATTCTGAAGACAACGTAAAAACATTACACACTTATTGCACTGAACTATATTTTTGAAATCACTACGATGTATTTTGAAGCATTTGTATAACAATGGTGTACGATGCATCGTTTGCATCCTATGTAAACTATTAATTAGTTCCTAATATATGTTTTAAATTACAAAAAGAAAATGTTGATGGCATGAACTGGTTACACTAACGCCGGCTTTGATCATCTGATTATCTTTTTCAACCTGACCATTGATGTTTATCTACGACTAATTTTTAGAATATATATTTACGATAATATTGTCATATTAATATAATTTCTTTGTTATTATTATTGTTCAATAATAATATAGCGTAATAAACACACTTCGTGATATTAAATTCATTTACAGTATTAATTACTGATTAATTAATTATCCTGAACACATCAAGCACAAAAACTAATAGATACCAATATGCCGATTTAATTCTTTGACTTACATAGAAAATGAGATTACTAGTTACAATGGTAACAAGAGCTGTAAAAATGGCTGATAAAGACTACGTAATAGAAGAAATCATGAAATTTTTGGTGGATATAATAATTATATTATTTTAACTATTATGAAAATAAATAATTGGTCTCTTTTAAATCTATTTATTTAGTTTCAGATATTTTAACCAAACGAAGTTAGGGATATAGACTATTATAATTAAATATTTATTAACTACCTGATTTTAAATTATTGAGTGTACAAGAACTTGAGAATTATATTTAGAAGTAACAAAGTTTATAATTTGGTTCAATTTATATAGATCCCAATTTACAGTAATTATACAGAATTTTTATGGACTAGTCATTTTTCGATTATATCTTCACTAAAACATTTTTTGGGTAGAGTTATTATTTTTATTTTTTTACCAATAAATAAAACATTGAGAAGCCATAGAAATGCAAAATCACTGAAAAGTCATAAAAATGCAAAGCATTAAGAGGCCATAGGAATGCAAAAACATTAAGAGACCATAGAAATAAAAACATAATTTTTTATTTTTTTGTTACCACGAGACAATTTACCGAGTAAAAGATGATTATAATTCCACTATAAATTTTTAATAAACGTTCATTACTTCAAATAATTTTTAAATTTGATTAAATATTATAAAAAAGATTATTTAGTTCTATTTTTTTTTAATACTATAATCTCTTGTAATAATCTGTAAATAATCATTTAATCAACTCATTAATATGATATTATCTTTAAATAATATTTGATTACATATTACTTTTTCATATAGTCTGTGGTCACACCATAATATAGCTAATTAATTGTATTCTATCATGATTTCTACTACTAAATATAATCGTAACCATGAACTCAATTGAGTCAAACAATTTAAATACTTAGGTTCAGTATTGATCGAAAAAAAAGAAACTGAAAAGGAGTAGTAACAAGAATCCTGTCGGGAAACAAATGTCTTTACGGACTCAGAAAGATACTAGGGTAACGGTCCCTGTCGAGAGAAATAAAGATACAATTATATATTGTACTATTACGGGCAATAATTACATACGGAGCAGAAACATGGACATTAAGAAAAACGGAACAAAATAAATTGATTATTCTGGAGAGGAAAATCTTAAGAAAGATCTTTGGTCCAGTAAAAGACGAGGAAACTAACGGATGGAGAATAAGAAAAAATAAAGATTTAGAGGAGCTCTTTCATCATCCAAACATATTAAATATAATACACAGTAGGAGGTTACAGTGGTCTGGTCATGCCTGGCGAAGTCAGAACCCACTACTACACATTGTATTGGCAGAGAACCCAGAAGGGAAAAGGCCTCTTGGACGACCCCGTTTAAGATGGGAAGACGTAGTACAGAGAGACGTAGAATCATTGAAAGGAGGCTCAGATTGGAAAACAAAAGCAGCCGACAGAGAGACTTGGAGGATTGGTTGTTTGACGGGATGGTCTTAGTGGCTGTTAATACCCAAAAAGAAAAAGAAGAAATATAATCGTGATAATAACGTTATGAATATTATGCGTATTTTATAATAAGCATAGTAACATATAAATCACATAGTTTATAATTGATTTCATGAAAATTTTAGAGAATTTTTTTTTAGTAGAGTTCCTGTACTTTTAAGGTTAAAAGTACAAGAACTCTAATTTGAAGTTCTGATTAGGTTCTTGTTCTTTATATTATATGTTAAAAAAGGTTTTGAATCGTTTCTAAAAAGTTCCAAATTCTGATAATCATTATATTAAATTCTTTAATTAAAATGTTTGATAATGATTCAAAAATAACCTATCTTCTTAACATATGCATTAAAACAAAGCTAATCAATTTCGAAGCAGTTTTTCCTTCAACTACTACATCATTTATTATTTATAATATTTTTACTGGTACTACCCAAACAGTGGTAAAAATTTATAGGTCATAAAACACATTATGTTTTTCATTTTTTATGAAAATATATAATGTGATTTATTAGGTATACTATCTTCTATGTTTTTGCTTAATAATGATTTTTTTATAAACTTGTCATATATTGATTAATCAAAATTTTATTTACACCTTGTTCTATTTAGTAGTAAAAAATAGTAATAGGATCCCATTAAAATTTCGAAAGTTACCCTTAGGAATAATTTTTTTTTACAATAAATTTGACATTTACAATAGTTTATAAAGATAAATTATACTTTAATTTATACATTTTAATGAAAACATTATTATATTACAATCAAATTTGGAATATTACACTTAATAATTCACAATATATTAGTGAATTTTGAAACAAAAGGGATAGATAACTAAAAGATTTCTTTGTCTTATTATAGAGATATTTGTTAAAACAAGTCAATTGATTTTAGACTATGGGTGCCGCAGCATTGATATTACTAGAAATACGTGCATTACTCCAAGAAATTTTTCTTGTTACAACAGTTGTAAAACTATAGAATTGTATATTTTTTTATTTTCTTGATACTTTGGTTTTGATTACTCAAAATTGTAACCGAAACTGCAAACAAATTGAACAGTTGCAGTTCCCAAATGATAATAAAAAAAGGAAACTTATAATTAACATCTGTTTATTTTAATAAAAACGAAACATTCCATTAAGTCAGTCTTAGAGTTTGGGATTTATAATCACCAAATAAGTTTTAAATCAATATATAAAAGTATAAAACAAACAACAAATAGTTACAAATAAAACAATAACCCTAATTCATATGTTTTAGTCGCTTATTTTTTTTTGTATGGATAGCTTTCTCCCGGTGGTCCAAAACTATCAGATCCGGGGGCTGAGTAACTGTCTCCACCACTACCCGAGTATCCATTTAACCCAGAACTAAGCCCATTATCAGAATATCCATTTAAACTACTTCCAAAGCTAGATCCACCAGAATAGCTGCTTAATCCACCAAAATTTCCTGAGCTAGAGCCATGGTCCCCACTGGAATAGCTTCCTAAGTTTCCCGATGAACTACCTCCATATCCACCCGATGATCCTTTGTGATTACCTGCAGTGTATCCACTGTATAATGTACCACTATTGCTGGAAGGTTTAAAACCACTAGAAGAACCTCCGTAACTACTAGAGCTCAAACCGTGACCACCTAAAGATCCACCATAGCTACCAGATGAACCTCCGTAACTACTAGAGCTCAAACCGTGACCACCTAAAGAACCACCATAGCTACCAGATGAACCTCCGTAATTGCTAGAGCTCAAACCGTGACCACCTGAAGAACCACCATAGCTACCAGATGAACCTCCGTAATTGCTAGAGCTCAAACCGTGACCACCTGAAGAACCACCATAGCTTCCAGATGAACCTCCGTAATTGCTAGAGCTCAAACCGTGACCACCTGAAGAACCACCATAGCTTCCAGATGAACCTCCGTAATTGCTAGAGCTCAAACCGTGACCACCTGAAGAACCACCATAGCTTCCAGATGAACCTCCGTAATTGCTAGAGCTCAAACCGTGACCACCTGAAGAACCACCATAGCTTCCAGATGAACCTCCGTAATTGCTAGAGCTCAAACCGTGACCACCTGAAGAACCACCATAGCTTCCAGATGAACCTCCGTAATTGCTAGAGCTCAAACCGTGACCACCTGAAGAACCACCATAGCTTCCAGATGAACCTCCGTAATTGCTAGAGCTCAAACCGTGACCACCTGAAGAACCACCATAGCTTCCAGATGAACCTCCGTAATTGCTAGAGCTCAAACCGTGACCACCTGAAGAACCACCATAGCTTCCAGATGAACCTCCGTAATTGCTAGAGCTCAAACCGTGACCACCTGAAGAACCACCATAGCTTCCAGATGAACCTCCGTAATTGCTAGAGCTCAAACCGTGACCACCTAAAGAACCACCATAGCTACCAGATGAACCTCCGTAATTGCTAGAGCTCAAACCGTGACCACCTGAAGAACCACCATAGCTTCCAGATGAACCTCCGTAATTGCTTGAGCTCAAACCGTGACCACCTGAAGAACCACCATAGCTACCAGATGAACTTCCGTAACTACTAGAGCTCAAACCATGACCACCTGAAGAACCACCATAGCTTCCAGATGAACCTCCGTAACTACTAGAGCTCAAACCGTGACCACCTGAAGAACCACCATAGCTTCCAGATGAACCTCCGTAATTGCTAGAGCTCAAACCGTGACCACCTGAAGAACCACCATAGCTTCCAGATGAACTATCATAACTACTAGAGCTTAAACCGTGTCCTCCGAATGAACTGCCATAACTTCCTGATGAGCTACCATGTCCACTTGAAGAATCAAAGTCATTACTTGGTCCATGCTCGTCAGATGATGATCCTCCATAACTTCCTGATGGTATATCGGCTTCATAACTACCTCCACTTGGTCCGCTTAAACCGGAATCATAAACACCCGAACTTCCATGACCTTAAATATATATTAAATATTGTGTCTTATTATTATAGAAACAACAAAAATATATTAATTTTGTATCCAATTTTCAAAATAAAAATATAAATTTGGCAATGAGACATATTAAAAGTATTTTTTAAATGTATTTTAAAGATGTATTAAAATATTAATAATAAAACGTATGAATTTTCAAAAGTATTCTAAATACTTGTTTTAAATCACTTATTTCAATACTTTTTTGAAAATTAACTAGAATAAATTAGTATGTTTGAGAACTCTAGTTAAACTCATATGCATATACTTTTTTTTGGAAAACAGTATTTTCTAATGCTCATTAAATGTGCGGTATACTTTATAGCAAAGAAAGAAGGACTTTTCAAATTTTTGTTAAAAAAATCTAAAATAAAAATGTATAGAATTGAGTTTAAATTAAATATATAGTGTTTTCGAGTAATAATCTAGCTTTTTCTATACCTCCTCCTCCATATGAATCACTTCCACTGCTGTAACTACTCAAACTAGAAGGTCCTCCATAGCTTTTATAACTGTCGTGATGATTATGATGCTCATGATGATCATGATGCTCATGATGTTCATGATGTTCATGATGTTCATGATATGATGGTTTTTCAGCTGGTAAATGTACTCGAATATGTACACTGTAAAATTAATAATAACCATTATATTTTTAATTTTAATCTTATTTATATTAAAAATTGAATAAAAAACACTAGTTAGGACAGGGTAAAAAAAATTATCAAGCAAACAAATATTTTATTCGAATAATAAATATTATTATTATTATTTAACTAAAAAAATATTTTTAACTATACCACTTTAAACAATCTAAAAGGTTATATTTGAATTTTTAAAATATTAAATTTCTTTTTCAGTAAAATTAATTCTATTAGGCAGTATTAAGTATTACTTCAAAAATAGCCAATTTCTAAAAATGCAAGTGTATCTTTACACAAAACAATTAACATGCTTTTTCAAATTCACAGATGTTAGTTTCTTATTAAGATAAGCTCTTGAAATTTTAAGTATAAATTAAACTCTAGTAGTTTAGAACGCCATAAAAATGAGCTCATATATTTTAAGTTTTTCATAATGAAATCCTTTAAAAATTTCTACATTCGTTTTTCATTCACTCATTCACTGAATTATTATTAAAATTATAAAACACTTCCCTTATAAATAAAACATAGATTGTGACTGAGTCTGTTCTTTCTTTAATTTATAAATTCACTTCATACGTACTTCTATGAGCATTTACTGCTCTTTTACTTATAACGCTTTATGTTTAGCCAGTTTTTGGCTGGTAGTATGATAAAGTAGCCTCAACGACCAATGAATCCCATAAGAAAATCTTTAACTGTTCTGAATTTTTTCTCCTACCCATGATCACCTAATATCTAAGTAAGTATTGAGTCAGTAATTTAAAAACAAACTGGCCAAGTGATAAGCGATACAAATAAAAGGGCATTATTGTTTGTGGAAGTAGGTGTGAAGTGAATATAAATTCACTTCACATATATATATGTTCTTTAATATATAAATATTAAAGAACAGACTTGGCCACAATATAAATATTTATACTTTGATAGAAATACTTTTTTTTTTAAATAAAAGTATTTTAGAACTTTGATTTTTTCAGAGTTTTTGTGTGGTTAAACTTTTTTTATTGTAGATTCATTAATAATTATTTTTTCTAGTTTTAAATTTAATTAAATAATAAATTTAAAAATAATTTAAAATTAAGGAAATTTAAGAAATTAAGATAAAATTTAACGAATATTTTACTTCCTCTTTAAGAAGGATACTTATAAGTAAAAATTTGTAAATTTTCATGGTTTTAATGAAAAAATAGTATTATTTGTTAATTTTTAATTGATTATTTATTAAATAATCTACTTACTGTTCCTTTCCAAAGAAAGTGGCATTTGTAGAGTCTAATGTTATAACTGCAGCAACAAAACAACAAATCTGTAATAAAAATGTTTTGTTTTTTACTATTTTTTTTTTTTAATATAATTTTGTTATATGTTTAATGCTAAAGAACGTGCTCCCCATATGGTTATATAATTAGATATAAATGTTAAGAAGAGCGCCGCAAGCAAATCATTGAAGTGGTTGCAGCGATAAGAGCGCAGGCGTAAATATCAAAAATGAATGATTAAAAAAAAAGCCGTAAAGTTTATTTCTGTTTACTGGCGCTGTAAAGGAGAAAGGTTTTCAATATTACTTAAGATAGTATAGCAGCGAAAGTATAGACGACAAATATGAATTATACATAAAAAAACTCTATTATTTATGTAAATGGAATCAAAGGAGAATTATGGTAAAGTCAAGATGTATTTCGTACACGTGTATAACCATTGTGTATAATATTACCTGACCGTCAATTGTTACTGTTATATATTTTTCTACTAAATTTTATATTGCAATTAACAAATAAACATATATTTAATTTATAACAAATTAGAGTTTCATCTCTTTGTTAATGAAATATTTAATTTAAAAATTGTAAAAAGTTAACAGAGTTCGTATTAAAAAATAAAATTTCTAGTAACATTTTATAATTTGAATAATTTAAAATTTATTTGGCAATTTTTTTAATCAAAATTATTGTAAATTGATATTTTAAATTATTAATAGCACGCCTCCATCATTTGAAGTATAAAATTTTATATGATTAAAGTTCAACCTTCATTTAAGAAAAAAAATATATTTTACTTATAGCTAGATTATAATACATGTTAAATAATCTGCATTGACTTTTAATAATATTGTACTATTAATATTTTAACTAATTTTGAAAAAAATTTTATTGTCAACTACGAATCTGCTCACAAATTTATATGTGACAAATCATTTTCAGAATAATAATGTTTATTTATTGTATGTTAAATGCTATTTTAATGTTAAATAAATGCTTTTTGTAACATTGTTAAACTTTTAAAATTGAGAAATGCTGTATGGAATCTAATCTATATTTCCAGATTATTGCTTATATCTAAATACAATAAAAATTTTAAGTAAAAATATTCAAAATATTTTCTTTAAAACTTTTAAAAAATGTTATTATTTATTTACTAATAAATACATAAATGAAAAAGTTTTGTCTACATTAAAGCTGATCAATCAAACATTTTTTTCTTGACGTTTTTTAATTGGAATTTGGCAGTAATCTTCTAAAAATTATACAAACTCTTTAGTTTGAAATTATTTAGGTTAATTTCACAAACAAATTTGCTACTCCTTTATAGATAATTTTACAAGTATTTTAAAAGTATAATCATCATTGTATTTTCATTACATTTAAGACAAATAATTGCTTTATATATAACTTATAAAAGCATGAAAAGCTCAAACTTTCCTAATAATGCCTAATTGTTATACAATAATATAATTTTTCGTTATTTTTTTTTTTATTGTATTTTCAATATGTAAATAAAAGGAGGCCGATTGGAAGACCGAAACAGGGATGGATGGACAAAAATAAAAAAAAACTAAATCGACTTGCGATAGACAATATTATTGAAGCGACTATGAACAGAGACAGATAGAAGGAGATTTGTTTTGCAGCTATAGGCCTTAATGGCCTTTAAAGCTGGAAGAAGGAGAAGAAGAAATAAAAGTTGTGATCTCTATAGCAGATTACCTAATATTACCAAAATATACTTCGTTAAGCAATCTTTTGTTTAAAGGAGGTGGCTTTAACTTTTTATGTTATATAAAGCATAAAAAAATATTATTAATATTGTGATTTCAACTAATAAATTTTGCAAACATGTAAAAATAAAATAATAATGAGTATATAAAATTTGTAATTATTACAATTTATACTTAAGTGCTACCAATCTATACAATAAGTAAAATATCAGCTTTCTGTATTCGTTTAAATAAAAATTTATTTCATATTTAAAAATAATAGAATTTAATTACTAAATTTTCTAAACATATTATTTCTGTAAAAAGTTTACAGTAAAAGTCAACCTGAATAAGTAATTATTTAAATAGAAATTAAAAATATTATACATTATATTTGGACCCAGAAAAAGAAGCTCAAGTTATGTAAAATTCTGAATTTAAAACTTTTTAAGTAATTATCAAAATAAATAAACATTATTTTTCGATATGAGAGTATTTTAAAATTTTTAATACGATCTCCTTAAAAGTTTATGGAATTGAATAAAGTCCCTGTTATTTGGAACCAATGAAAATTTTTTTTAATTTTATCTAGAAGATTAACAAACTTACTATTATTGATAAAGTCTTCATAATTATAGAATTTTATAATCCTTGAATTACTGAAACATTTAAATTTACTATGAATCTAAATTAAATATCTAACGGCTATCAAAATCGACGGCACAGTACATATGAATCAAATGGACCAGTGCTGCACGTTTTATATACGAAAGTAACACAGAATGTGAATTCTGCTTACTGGTGGGGAATACAACCGCTGGAAATAATTATTTATTCACATATTTATAATCATAACGTTATTTCCGATATCCCACAACATTAAGTAAAAAATTAAACGTAATATTATTATAATGGAGAAAGTTTATATATTTGTCACTCAAAAATAAAAATTTCATGTTACTCTTAAAATTTAAAAATCAATGATAATTTTAATAATAAGGAGTATTGATAAATTAAAGTCTAAAATATTAAACCAATAATAAGTCACAGATTATTTGTTAAAAATAATATTAAAATTTTAATATGAACAGAATAATTGATTTATCGTTCACCACTTTTTTTGTCATAATATAATACAATTAATAATTCTGAAAATATTTTATTTTTATTTTTACTAGTTACTTTTTTTTAATTTATTTATTATCAGGTGTAAACCAGAATTCTCCAACGATAGATGAAAATATTTTTTATGCTTTAAAATACTTTTTTTTTATTTCATTACGAAGGTATTATTTTTCTAGTCTACTATCGTTGAAGGGTTAAAAAATCAAAATAAAATATCTTAAAAAATTAAACTATTAGTCTTCTTACATCACATACAATAGTTTACAATTTTTATCATTATTTCAATAATAAAATATCAATAAAAACTTTTCTGATTCATTTTAATTTTTATTAGTTTAAGTTTATTTTAATTAAGAAAAAATATGATTTTTGTTCTATTATTGTTTTACTATTTAAAAAAAGAGAATTGTTATCTTAAACATTATTTTTTCTAAAATCTTGTCTATTCACCATAATAATTTATGAAAAAATTTCCTGATTTTGTAAATAATAAAATTTTCTTTTTGCTACTTAAATAAATTAATTTTTTGATATGTATTTTTTTGGTTTTATTTTGTTAGCCGAAAATAATTTAATTGTTACTGATATGCAATATTACATCTATAAAGTACTCAATTTTTTGAGATTATTTTCTTATATAAATTTGTTTTGAGTTTTAAGAAATATTCAAGGTATTTTTTGAAGTAATTATAATAAATTTACTGGATACAAAGATATATTTTTAAAAATGAAAAAATGTTACTCTATATGATTAATTTACAAACTTGAGTGTTATATATAAATATTTATAAAATATAAAGCACCCATCAACAAAAGTTGCACAATGTAAATATAATATTTTTGTTAGATGGTTCAGTCTAGTGTTAGTGAATAAAACATGTGACAGTTCACTTAGTTCAGAGTACGAATTGCTGTTTGGCATTCAAGTCATGCTACTAACTATGTCATAATTCAGATGTAAGCCTGTACTTTGTTTTCACAATTTTTGAATTGTGAAAACGAAAAAGAAATATATTTTTTATCCATTATTAAACTTGTTTGAATACTTCTTCTTGAGTATTTTGTATGTTCCAATAACATCATAAAAATAAAGGAAAAGTTATTTTGATTGATATTTTATTCTTTTTCAATTTATGATGAATAGATAAAATATTTATGATTTTTAAAGTAAATACAGTGGTACATTGAAGAAAAAATTGGTCGAGGAATATTAATCAGACTGGTCCATTTTGCTTTCAGATTAAGTGATTAATAAAAAAGAAAGCCATCAAAATTCAAAAAACCTCTGAAGCAGGGCCCAGATTTTTAAGATTTGCATGGTCTAGGGCAAAATAATTTTATTACAATATACGTTATTTTTTTCATAAATCCTAGATATTTCATAAAACGGCGATGAAGTGAAGGATTTTCCTCTCTCAGTTAATTTAAAGAACTAAGTTATGATTTTTTTAGTAACCTTACATTCTATATAATCAAATTTACATTTTTGAAAATTTAAAAAGTAAATCGGGTAAGGGCTAATAATTTACAAACTTTTTATTAGAATTGATTAAAAACTCAGATAATAAAATTTCCAATATAACACAAAATTAAAGACATACAAAGAACCACATGAAATATATTAATTTTCAAAATATTAAGTAGTCTTTTTGTAATTTATTTTCTGTGTTTTAACGTTCAAAAATATCTATGATTTTTATACGGTAAAAATATTCTTTTAACTCTAGAACTTAAATTTGAAAAATTATTTTAATAAGAGCTTAGTAATTTATAAATGAGGCTTTATTCATAAACATAGACTGTAGGCGCTTCGTCGCAGAGCTAGAGGTGTAATGGTGTCTCCTGTATCGTGTTCTACGTTTTAAAGAACCATGCAAACTAAGTTGATGAGTCAAAAACAATTTGGTTATTATTCATTATAAAAATATGTTAAGTTTCCCGTAAAATTATTTCATGCAAAGTCCTGTAATTTCTAGTATCGGCTTGTATTTTTTTATATTTGAAGAGTATATGGAAAAAACAATGTCAGCCACTTTTTGTTAAATGAGAAAAGAATGTTTCGAATTTCAAAAAGGTAAAAAAGGTTGTTTAACAAATTAATAATATGAATCAAGATTAAATTTGGAGGATTTTATTACTAGTAAACAAATGAAATTGTTTGTAACCATAAATAACAATTACAACAAAATATAATAGAATTACCATACTTTTTTAAAATGTTATTATTTATTTTTTAATAAATAACCTATTAAAAATAACGAGCAACCTATAACAGAAAAAAAAACCAAGCATGAATGAACTTTTTGTCACTAAAATTTTAATAAAAAAGTGATTCGAATTATCTTTTACTGATAATCTTCATTTACAATAAACATAAAATTATTATAACACTCATATCAGTAATAATTTGTACATTAATAAATAATACAAATATTGGTAATAAAATTATAAATTATTATTACCATTGTTTAAAAAAAAAAAAATTGAAGCATAATAAGGGTGGATTAAATCACACAAAGTTGGAGAGTATTACTACTAAACTACGTTGAAAAATTAAAGAGAAAAATTAAGGAGAGGGAACTGAACCAAAGTAACAAAGGATAAAGCGCTACCTTTTAGTATTCTCCTAAAAGTTTTTCAATTACAGTTCAAAGACAATGATAATGAAACTTAAAACTTTTTGAATTTAATTTAATTGTTTTATTATGAAAACTACTTTTTGTCAAATATTATTTCATAAGTTAAATATTTAAAACCTCCCTTTATTATTTTACCTAAATAAACAAAAACATGTTTTTGGTATTAAAAATTGATTAATTATTTTTTAGTTAATTATTAAAACAGTTTTGAATATTGTTATTAAATAAACCTTATTCTTTAATTCTCTATAGTTATCAACATGGTTTTACATGTAATTCGAATTTTATTATGTAAATAATAATTATTCATCAAAAGACAATTTTCATAATTTCTTTTTTTTTTTTTAATAGAAAACTTTCCAATTAAATTGGTTCTGATAGTGTAATTAATATCAAGTTACACATCAATGACATCATTGGTCACATATTGGTTGTTAACATTTATTTATAAAAAGTTACTATTACAGAAGCACGAAATGTAACCAAATGCAAACTTTCTCGTATGATAAAAATTATCACACTTGTTAATAAATTTATCTAATTACTTTGTTACCGTAAGAAAAAAAGAGAGGAAAAAAACAATAAGTAAAATACAATTAAACAGCACTGTAGTAAAACAGGTGTTTGATATTGTCGTAGTAAAGAGATAAATTTCAATTCAACTAACGGTATAATATAACCAGTCATTTGTCCTTTCACCGTCATTTTTTTTACTAACATATTAATTATGTAAAATCTAATTTCTAACGTAGAATCCCACTAATTAGTTTTAGTATTTGGATGACTTAAAATTAACAATTAATAAAAAAATAATAATAATAATATTGAGAATTTGGTTTTAGATTGTTTTAGATACATTTTTTTCAATTTATTAATCATAAAGTATTTTTTATGTTTATACCTTATAAAGATGTTAACTTTAATTTTGCAAACGGCAACATATATAATTAAGCTTATTATTAGATAATGGTCTAATTAAAAATCACTTGTAGATAACAATTTATGGACCAGTATTTTGGAAGTAATTAACATTTTATAGTGATAACCTCAGGTATTATTATTATTATTACTAGTCATATTCCTGTCGTTAGCTATGAAAATATCAATAACTTCCGAAATACTGGTCCAATAGTTATTACGATCAGTCATTATCTTAATTATATCCATTATCATTTAGATAAGTTAGTAATTATTATTTTTTTATATGGTGACCAAACATACTATTTTTCGTAGGAGTCTATTTTCTTTGGTGCATTGTTATAGTGTACTTAGCCATAGTGTTAAGTACATGAAATTGTACTCTTATTTTTTTTTAATTATGGGCTTATACCATAATATATGTATATGTTATTCATTATAATATATAATTTGGTTATTTATTTATATTTTATAATTGGACCTAAAATTAAAATACAATCATAAAGGGCACATGTTATCTTTTTTTTTTAATTTAAATGTTATATGGTTTTATAATAAATGATTAAGAAACATATTAATAAAGTTTTGTATTTATTTATTTATATTTCACACTTTAATACATTTTTTACTTTTAATAATGAATTTAAATACATATACTTTAGTTTAAGTTTATTTAAAATAATTTAAATTAAAAGTATTTTTATAGCAAAGACTTAATAAGTTATCATTATAATTTTTTTTTTAGATAAAAAAACTAAATATATAGTCTATGGACAAAATGGGTAGAAGAGTATACACGTTAAACAATTATTATAGAGAAAAATCTGAGTTTCAAATGAGCTTTTTTCATTTTTATACCTGATCATATATGTATGTTGCCATTTGAAAAAAGAGTTACAAGGTATCAGTGATGATTATAAAAAATAATTAATGGTTGATAAATTTAAAAAATCACATACACCTAAAAGAAATCAAAAACAAAAATTCTTAGTATAATTTTTAGTTTTTGATTAATTAAGAGTTAATAATAAACGAATTATCATGTTTACGGAGTTATTTTTTTAACAT